AAGACTATAAGTTTATTATAAGGCCCGGCAGAATGGGGAGACTAAGAAGAGGAACAGGGGTAAATGGCTGACCACCATGGCCAGTCGCCATAGAGAGACAGAGCCGGGAAACAGAGAGACGGGAGAGCGGGACAGAGGACCAGAGAAACAGAGAGCATAAAGGAGCAGGGACTTATCTTTTAAAAGGGTCCTCTGCACCTGCGTGCAGACTTAGTTCCCATGGAACCTTGGGCTGACCAGGGCACTGCCTGTTCCACCAGGTGACAGGGGCAGGCCAGCATAATGCCTGAACCTTTCACCAATGACAGGACCCAATCATAGGTCCTGCCTGGTAGGGGCTCAAAGGGTAGGCCCTAAGAGCCATTAGCTGACAGATTTTTCTAGGGGAATGACATTTGTATCTATTGCCATTTTGTCCCCTATGTAAGGGAGTTTCCTTTTGAACTAGGATCTCAGTCAGGGAAAAGGGACAATGTATTCTTTTTCTATGACTGCTTCAGGCCAACTTTGGGACGTTGTTGTCAGGGGTCCAAGAAGGCTGAAATGCTAATCAAAAGCAAAAAGGGAATTCAGGCAATGGGGTATCCATCAGAAGCATTTGGTTTGCAGACTCTGTTGAAGAGACAGGGAGTGTTCACGTCGGCTGGACTGGGCCACATCAGCAGCAAGTCCAGGGCTTGCAGTCTTTAGGAGCAGGCTATAGTCAGCAACTGATGTTTGAATGTGTTTGTCAGAAGTGGAAACCTGTTGAGACATATTTAAACTAGGAACAGAAGTTAAAATTTATGTATGTAATTGAAACTTTTAGGCCCATATAGTTTAGTAATTGGGGAGGGCAAGAGTCCCAAGACCAGGAGAGAGAAAATCCCATCCTCAGGAACAGACAGGTGGGAAAATATAGGCTCCCTTCAATGTTCTGGGTTGACATACTTCAGTTAACAAGAACAATTAGCCCGAAGCAGAATTACAGAAGCCAAAAAGCAAGGTTAGTGAAAAGAAAGAAAGGAAGGAAGAAAGGAAAGAAGGACATGACTACTCCTAGGTATGGTGGAAGAGAAAATTTGCCGTAGATAAATGGGAGAGCATAGCCAGAGGCAGAGATATCCAGAAGTGTCTAGAGTAAACATGATCCTGGAGTGGAGTTTGGGGTAGGAGGCAGGGTATGCTAGCCATGGCCTCCAACAGGTAGGGACTGAGGTTTGCTGGGAGAACCTGGCAGCCAGGTTCTATTTTGATATATTAATAAGCTCCTAAGTTAGGCACCCGTCTGGGTTTGAGACCTAATAGACTTTGATGGATTAGGCCTTCCTTTGGTTTTGTTTTGGCAGGTGGTGCTATCTACATGCTGTTTTATAGCCTGAATGGTATTTCCATCATGGAGTCAGTTGTGTTAAGGCCTGGGGGCTACTAAAGTCTGGGTCCCTGTTACAAAAACAAAATCTCTCTATAAAGGCTGGTTGTTGTGGTGCACATTTTTAGTCCTGGTGGCTCTCTGATCACTGTGAGTTTGAGGTCAGCCTGGTGCAACTCGGGCGGTATAGGTGGCACTCTGCTCCTGGCCCCTCCCAAATGTCATGTAATTTAACCTCAACTTTCTTTCATACTGGCAAGTCCTGAAATTCTTTTCTGCTTTAAAACTACGATACTGGGTTGGCCTGAGCTGAAGTCCCTACAAGGTTAGGAGGACCTCAAGCTGCCATGAGTCCTGCCTTCTGTCTCCCTAACAGATGACAGGGCTGTTGGTCCATTTTATTCTCGAGAATGAGCCAATTCTTAGACACCTTGGAATGTGTTCTGATCTGTTGCTACTGTTCTCCATAAAAGCTCTCTTCTTGGTGCTGTTAGAGATGGCTCTGCAGTTACGAGCAGCTGCTGTTTCAGAGGACCTGAGTTCAGTTCCAAGCACCTACATGGTGGTGACTCACAACCATTTGTAACTCCAGTTCCAGAGGATCTGACACCCTCTTCTGGTCTGTATGGGAACTGCATTCAAGTGGTGCACCGTTTTACACATAGGCTAAAACACCCATGCACATCCACATAGACAAATAAATATGAGCTCTCTCCCTGAGGAAGTCAGAAAAACATCACACATTTCCATCTTTTCGGGGGGAGGGGCGGTGTTGGGTTGTAAGTTGTCCTCTCTGGAGACCCTCGGTTCATTGGACCACCATACTCAGTAACTAGGTCTGAGTGGTTGGTCTGATTCTGAGCTGTTTCTAGCCAGCCTCTGTCCTAAGGACCTCCCTGATGCTTGAAATAGGCAAGCTCTCTGGGACAGCTGCAAGTCTTTACAGCTACTCTGGAGAAATAGTCCCTATCCTTTCCAGGTGGCTTTCTTTTCTAAAAGAAACAGATTAGGGGATTCCAAGGTGGCCTCGGTCTCACTGAGTAGGAAAACCGCCCACGAGAAACGAGTTTTGTTTCTCATTTAATATTTCTACTGAAGGAACCAGCTTCCCTTTCGGCAGCCATAACAGCCGAACATGTGCTTCTATGACCTTGACCTAGTCACTAGAAAGTCAGATGCCTGCCTTGTGACAAGGAACCAATCAGAAGTTAGCTGGTGGCGCTATGCTTTACGACCCTGGGTGTGCTTTACCGACAAGCGTACAACAATGACCCACAGAGCATAGCAACCACCCTGGGAGGGCCTATGAGCCATAACAACCAGTTGACCAATCAACACAGGGCAAGCCCTCCAAGCCTGGAGGCACACCAATCGTGATCCTTTGCGTACCCCCTAGACACGCCCCTTACGCTGCCCTATAAAGATCTGTACACAGCGGCTTCAATCTGTCTTTCCTAGCCGTCCGCCATGGCGGGTGGGTGAAAGACCCGAGCTAACATGGGGTTAGCTCATTAAATTACAATAAAGCCTCGTGCAGTTTGCAGCAAGCTCTCGAATCCGCCTGGTGATTGAGGTGACCTCGAACGTGGCCTGGGACCCCGAATACTTGAGTTTTCGGGGGTCTAACACTACTAACTCAGCCAATGGTGTTCTGGTGAGGTGCAGAAAAGGCAGCTTCCTGTAGAGAGAGTGGACGAGCCTGCTTCAGCGGGCCCACTTTCCCCACTCACCCTTCCACTGCCTCTAGGTTTCGGTCTTCCTTTGCCCAGGGTTTCTGGTTGTGTTGGACCAATCGCAGGCATTTCCAGGAGAGTGCACTGAGATAGGGAAGGAGGAGAGAGGCCAGTGTACTCCTCTCTCTTATCTGCTTGGCCAGGGTGGCTCCAACAGCACTGACTGACTGAATATAAGGCCTGCTTCCTGGCTGCTCTTCAGAACTCCAGCTCCCTTTGCTCCCTCCCGCTAAATTTGGACGTGGTGTGAGTTTCCCACTTGATAATCCTTATTTTGACTCCCTAAATTCTGCCTACACCTCTGCAAAATGTTTCTTCACTTCCTTAACACTTTTGTGTCTTAGGAACGACCTTGACCATGCAGCCAGGCAGAATTCTACTGCCTCTAACTGGTTAAAAGCAGCCACCCACCTAGAAGAAATCGAGGACATCAGTCGTAACTTAGTAACCCTATTGCTACCCAGATTTCTCCTAGGCCGCCTAGTAGGACCTGTCCCTGGCCGCAAGTCTCCAGCCTGAGCTGCCTTTCTTCGCCTCTGTCTCATCACCTGCTGAGCTGTGGCACCTGCGGTATCCGGATCACC